TTTTATGTGGTCCGAAGGACCACGGATCAGATCAGATATTAAACTGATCAGAAGAACAGACACTACACTTGATCTTACTTAGCCAAAAGGCCGAGAAAGGTATTGCGGTCCCAGTTTTCAAAATCAGTCTTTTGATACACATGGGACGCTGTACCGTGTTTCCAGCAGGTGTCACCCCCCACCAAAAGGTGGAGCCCCCCCCCCCTCAGGGGGGTACTGTTCGGGGATGCTAATATATCACCCCAACAGTACCCCCCATCGGGGTTAAAACAAAGGGCGGGGGAGGGGAAGAGGGAACAGAAAAAAAAAAACAAAAAAAACGCGAGGATGAGCTTGGGACATAGTCTATAATACACACCGTAGATGCATGAAATAGTCTGTAGCACGGATTTCGCACCGGTCCCTCTCTCTCGCTCTCTCTGTCTTTTTCTCTCTCTCTCTCTTTTTTTTTTTTTCGTAATTGGCGTGGGTGCTGGGATCTCTGACATTCAATCAATGCTCTTCTCGGTCGGCACAGGGGCCTGGTCCCGTCAGCAAAAAGGATTGGATTTAATTCCTGACTCTGGACTTGTTCGTGGAAAGATGCAGAAAATTGCGATTGATCTGCTTTTCTTTCTGCATCTCTGCGCGAAACACATCCACATTCACGTCCAGATTCAGGAATTGCATCCAATCCTCTTTGCTAATGGGACCAGACCCCAGCCCAGGTCAGTGAAGTCGGTACCGCAATTAGTTAAATACGATTAAAAAAAAAAAAGTCATAACATAAGGTCGCAAAACTTTTTTTTTTTTTTTCAACTTATGAGCTACGGTAGGAGACTATATGCAAAATACTACAACCTAGTACCTACTAGAAAAAAGAAGAAAAAAGAAAAAGAATGACTACTTGCTACCTTATTAAAAAAAAAAAAAAAAAAAAAAAAAAACCTACTACCTACAACGTTTTTCCGTCGTGATTTGTGATTTGTAAAGGGGCAAATCACCCTCCTGTTCCCCCGCCAAGCCCAGTCGCCACGGGCATACTCACGCTAGAACGTTTCCGTCAGATCTGTGGAAGTGATTGCGGCCAGATGCATCCAGGTCTGGCCGTAATTGCTGTCCTACGGGTTATCGGTTCAAGTCCGATAGTGAGCATACTCGCTTGGTGAAAATGGTAAACACGACAGACTAAAACACTTCGTCGGTTCGAGCGAGTCGGGACCACGGCGAATATAACTTAATAGGTCAAAGTGTCAGATTGTGAATTTGAAAACACGGGTTCAACTCCCGTTAT